GATGCTGCACAGGAAGAACGGATACGTTCCCGTGACCAAATGCTGCGATGTAAGCTAGTAATCGAGTCGACAAGAGATCCAACGCCCACCTTGAAAGAAGATATAAGGGAGTAGATATAATTAAGATTGCCCAAGGCGTTTTAGGCAACTGTGGCTCCCAGAAGCTATTTGGATGCAACAGCGGTCACGCCCCGGTAAACAGCTAGACAGGCGGGCCAAACAAGCTTGAGGGTAACCGGAAGCTCAACCTCCGGTGAGTCCGTGTCTAACGTACACGTTGGGCGGACGAAGTCGGTTTCACGACTCAATGGCCGAGGCAGGACTCGGGACTCAAAAAATGTATGGACCCCTGTTGAGCTAGCAACTGTAAATGGCGACTCTCCCATCTGAAAACAACGCCAAGAATGAGTTCCATGGTAGCTTTCAATCGCTTGTTAATGAAATACTCAAACGGGCGTGTACTTGTCATAACAGAGGGCAGGAACGCTCGAACTGGCCCACAAGATGAGACCACGAAGCACATCCTCCGGAGGTTTGGCCTAGGTCAGTGCTGCGAGAATGGTGACAGACTACTCAGCTTCGCCGATTATAAACGATTGTTCATTACCCATACCCGGTTTAAACATCCAAGGAAGCATATTCTGACGTGGTACTCCAACGACGGACGAACAGCACACCAACTAGATTATCTTCTTATCCGTTTACGATGGGTTTCTTTGGTTGAAAACTGTCGATCCTATAGCGGGTAGAATGCAGGAACAGAAGCGAATTTGATCACGTGATAGTTCGCGCGAAAGCTAGACTCCATTTAACAACTCGCACGAAGACCGTCCTCTCAAAACGCCTAAATATCCTTCCACTAGAGAACGGCGAGAAATGCCAGACACTGATGGGCATGATGACTGCACAGCTATCGAACGATCCCCTCGGTACGCAAGGAAACAGAGTTCGGTTAAAACTCAGTGGACCAAGTCGTCGGTACAACAAGAAGCTCTACACGAACTAGGCACTGGGTCACGTCGTCTGAAGAACTGGATATTCGACCACGCCATCCAGTTAGCTGATGCAGCCAGAGAGACAGGCCTAGATCAATCTTCTGCTTATCGCGATCTCAGACCACAAGCAACACGATCAATCAGAAACGATAGATGCAACTACTGGAATGAAATGGTTACAGGTATGGACAGCAGCCAACATAGGGAACCCGTCTTAGCATCGGGAAAGAAGCAGGTAAACCAGTCTGTGTTGCGCAGCGCCTCCGATGAGCTCATTTCTGATGCACAAGGGTGAAACACTTTAATCTCCTTCTCAATCGCCCTCAAATTCAACTTTCGTATGCGTCCTCCCCGCCATCTTCTCCATACGAAGCTAACTGCGCTCCGCCATCATTAGAAGAAATCTCAGGTATCATCAACTATCTCAAGCCACGGGAATCTTTCGGTGAGGACGGGATATCCATCGAAATCCACGAAAAATATTTCTGTCATGTTAAACCCTCTTCATAGCTCAGTGTGTAAACTGGGAAACAGAAATTTGGCCAACTGACGGGACCGCATCGATTTTACTACCTCCTATAAAGGGCGACAAATCAGTGTGCGAAATCTAGAGGCATCAGTTTACTTGACGTGGCGGCCAAGATCTTTGCACTTTTGTTGAGCCCCTATGCTGCAACAAAGCACGCACGCACTTGTTCTAAACATAAGGGATTCCGCTCCAGTGTGGGCTGTGTCGACCAAAATTCATTTTAAGTCGACTATTGGAACATCGCCACAAGTTTCAACAACCAACAGTCTGCTTCGTTGATTTCCGTGTGACATTCGACTCCGTAGATCGCGAATTACTCTGGAACATAATTCTGGCCGATGTTTTCCCAATAAAACCTGTCAACCTAATGAAATTCTACAATTCTAACACTAGCGCACGAATCTGCATCTACGGAAAGGGGTCGTGTGCGTTCGATTCAAGATCTGGAGTGCGACAGGTATGCCCAATGTCCCCAACGCTGTTCAACTTTGCTGTTGACTGGATAATGAATGGGTCATGCGATAGAAAGATATCAGAGAGTTCAGATTTCTGCGAACCTTGGCTCATCGACTTGGAATTTGCTGATGATATTCTCGTCTTTGCCGAGGACATGTCCAACCTGTCCAATGCCCAATCTGTTGACCGCATTAGTCGACAGGCCTCCAAGATCGGCCTAGAGGTGAAGACATCAAAAACCAAAACCTTTGCAACAGTCCCCATTCATCCCGAAGAGGCTTTACTACTAAACGGTGAGCCGATCGAATCGTTGGTGGGCTTCAAGTACCTGGGCTCAACCATACTCCCCAACAGCCAAGCTAAAGACGAGGTGTAAATGCGCGTCGATGCTGCAAGGGCGTTTTTATAGCTGAATGATTCCCTTTGGTGTAGAAATGAAGTCAGCCTCAAGACAAAAATCCGAGTTTTCATCGCAGCTGTCCGTTCTGCCTTGCTATGCGACTGTGAACCCTGATCGATTAGAGTCGAAGACTGACGCCCATTAGAAGTCCACGATCACTGGTGCTTAATGATCATTTTGGGAGTACGATGAAGCGATCAGCTCTCAAAAGAAGCGGTCAGAAATCGGTTTTATTGTATGGCTGCGGAAGTAATTACAACGGCGGTGACTACAATGGTTTGGTCACATTATTCGCAAGTCCAATAACGATCTGACCAAAGCTGGCTTAGCATCGCCCCCCTGCCCGAACTGGAGCTGTTAACACGATGGACAGCTGAAAACCTGGCTTAACACGGTAACCTTGGTCTCCGCTCCTTCCACGGCATTTACCAATGAAAGTCAAGCTAGATCACAATCTGAGCTGATCTTGCCGCAGATCGCCGAGCGTGGACATCGGCAATTCGGGATATCCATGAAGCCGGCTTATCTTCTCCCGGGAGCCAGTCGCCGTGAAGTGAAGGAATGGGCATCTGAAAGTTCATCCGCATGGTGCCTAAGTAGGGTAAGTAATCTTCATCGGATGCTTTCCTAAACGATCTAAAGAGCCACTTAGTGCTACAAAGTGAAGAAAAAATGCTGACACGCCGAACTCTGACTAGTAATTGAACGGGAGGAACCAGGTGGTTTGATAAACTGAAAGAAGGAAGATCTCGGAATAACACGGCACTGTACCGAGTGGCAAGTAGCCCTGCTGTTGCTCGGCATACTACCGCGCTCAACCTTTTAGAACTTTACTTATTCCGCTGTTTCTCGCTTCGACCGTGTTCGACATAAGACCGTCTGGCAGATCGACGGTTGCTCTTAACTTCCAACACGCACTCACTTTTCCATCACCGAGCAGTTGCTACTTTATCTCTTTCAAAGTTATTATTTTGTTTTTTGCCTTTTGTGAACTCATTTCCACCATTTTTCTTTTTTCGACCTTTTCTTGTTCATCTCGTTCTCAAGCGGACAGTCACTCTTATTAGGCTTCTGTCCCTAAATGCCAATCTTTATCTTCCAGACATCTTCCCGAGGACTGCGATTCCGTGGCCCACCCTTCCGATCTGCGTATTTTCTAAACACTTGTAATCTTACTCTTTTCAAAATCAGGAATTAATTCTCATTCGAATGTTTCTCCATATATCTTCCACCTACAGTATGTCATTGACTATAGGGTTTACCTCTTGCTGTAAACCACTGTGTGTACTAAAAAGACACTCAAATCCGGCGGTCCAATCTTGTTCTACTACCTGTATTCGTTATTTATTGTAACCGAGGAAAACGGAGAACATCACCTCTATTTTGCCGTTCATTGCATCAGAAGACTGTATAAGGACTACCGAGGAATCAATTTGGAATGCTACGGAGCTTTCTTCCAGCGCCGCTTGATGTGGTACTGTTTCGATGGTCAACTAAGGACGTATATCGACAAAGTGATAAGGAACACTTGAGTCGATGTTAAGACGGAGGTCACAGACCCAGTCAAAATCCGCACGGATCCGCGTTCGCGACGCTTAACGGGAGTTGATCCGCATTGGAACCAGGAAGACTCATTCAGCACCGTCCGATCGACCTATCGGAATGTCAAAGATGCCACTTGATTGGTGCATCACCACGTCGTTCCCGTACGCCCGATTTACCCACTTATATTTGTGTGCATCATGTTCGTGTTCTCTCTTCCCCAGTATTATTGTTAGGAGTCAAGGAAGAGGCGCTCATTTCGGTCGTACGTCTAGGACAGAACATAACTGAAAGCCGTGTATGGCATAAGATGGATTAAAAACTGGTTTCCTTTCAGAGTCGACCTTATCGTCAGAGACATTAGTGAGACGGCCTTTATCGGATGCAGAAGCTAGCCGCATAAGAGTTGTGGTGGCGATGGTAGTAGTAGACCTCAATGGGATAAAATAAGACCAGTTCGAATACGTATTACAGATAATAAGGCTAACTCACTTTGGTCGATCAGAGTCAAATGAGTCCTCGTCATCTTTGCATCGTATAATGCGACCGGACTAGAAAAGAACAAGAAAATTGCAGTTATTCAACGGGTATGCAGATAAAAAATGAACAACAGTCTACTTATATATATCTTATATATCTATCTGCGCTAGATGACTAATGTATGTAACTTGCATCTTGTGGAAGACCGTCATCACAAGAGGGAAATGCAGTCAAGCAAGCTTCGCTGATTGTCGTCGAATTGCTTTTCGAACATCGAACACAGAACGGATTTGTTACAGGGTATATTGCTATTAGTATAAATCATACTGTTACACTTATCAATGAATCGGAATTTTCTGGAAGGCAATAAATCACTGACAAGATCCTCAGTTAACTTTACTAGCACCAAGCTATGCGATAGCATTCCTCGTATCACGAGTCGCTACCTAACAAAGCACTGTTGTTAAGCTATGAAATATCTACTACAAATAAAGTTATAAATGAAGGTAGACAGATGCGGGACTCGTAATGTTAAACAAAGTTTCGTTTCAGAAGTAATTAAAAGGAATTCCGAAAAGTTGCAAAGGGAATACTCACTCGATTTCGCGTGATGACTATTTTCGACAGATCACCTCGATCCACAGAGCCTTTATCCAATCCGGAACCGGATTTTATCTGGACAATAATAAAAGGACGGTGTTCCCAATATACAAAGCCTTTATGGCAAATTTCTGGTCTCCGAATACAATCAGCTTGATGATAATTTTGTTTTGATCTTTTTTCAAGGCTGAATCACATCAAAATCGAAGCTAAAACAGAATGCCCGACCCCACTCTCAGTGATCCTCAGTTAGCAATCAGCAAAGATACAGCCAACGACATCCACAACCAAGTTTTCTGTGATTGCTGGTGTGTTGTCATGAACGTGATTCGTAACGCGTTAAAATGAAACAGCTTCTGAAAATAAAGCGGATTAGCAAAACACAAAGTTGGCAGACCCCGTGAAACAAGGAGAATCACTGAGTTTTTGTTCATCTA